TGTAGACAAGGGACCTGAAGGGCAGAGAAGCTAAGGCACTTGCTAAGGATCGCTCAATTCTAATGACAGAGGTGGGATTTCTAGTGTGTGCTGGGGCTCCTCAGATGCTCTGAATCATACCACTGCTCCTGTCTCTATGTTGGGTTGGTGAGTGGTGGAACTGAGGGAGCACCTTGAGGTTATCACTGAAACAAGGGCCACCAGTGGGGTATCTAGGGCTTCAAGGAAACTTTCAGGCTCTGAAGGCAGAGGTTGGGCCATGTTTCAAAAAGAAAAGCTGAAGAGGAAACCCATTGGCTCAGATATCAGCCGACACTTGGGCTCATCTTGGGCTTCAGATATCACTCTTGGCCAACACTTCTGTGACAACAAATGAGATAAGGTAGAAGATAACATGAGGGTGGAATCTCCCCAGGAAAAGAAGCGGCCCAGGGCTTTGGGCATGCAGAGCCACTTTTGATAGCCTCATCTGTGGGTCCCAACATATACAAGGGTGCTGGGGAAGGTACACACGCCACTTCTCCTGAAGACTCCTTGAGACTCAGGGATTCACTGTGCCAACCTCTTTCTAGATGCCAATTTAAGTGACTTTGTTAGTTGGCAGTGGGTGGTCAGTTCTGGTCTATAGAGGAAGCTCAGTGTCCCCACTGTGTGTCAAGGGCCACCTTAGCCCAGATGGGGGCATCCTGAGAGAGGTCTCCTGGATGGAGAAGCTGCCTCCCTCAGGCTGTGGGCTTGAGGCCTGCCCTGCCCCGCTCCACCCACCCCCCCCCCCCCCGCCCCTGACACTCCAGGAGTGCTGCAAAGAAAGGCAGCCATACCAGAGGGGTGACAGTCCCATGGAGCTGCCCTTCACTGCTACACTCTCAGTGCTCCAGGAGCAGCTCCAGCTATATGAATGGAAGTCCCAGGCTGGATGGCCACCTGCTGAGCCTTACTGGGAGCTGGCAGTGCCAGCAGCCTCCTTGGCAGCCAGGACATGCTGCCTGGGACTCACCCAAGTAGGGACCCACAATGTCTGAATTCTTGTACCTGGGGAGCTAATTCTCAAAATCTGTGTGTGCCCCCGACCTCAGCTGTCATGCTGGGACTGTCATGGCAACTGAAAGCCCATCGGAGAATAAAATGCCACCTTTCCTTGCTTTACTCCTGCCGGGCCCCAGGAAGTAGTTTTCCCCCTCTCGCTGTCATACTGGTTTTGCTTTGCTTGCTGGGGATCAAAGCAGGGCCTCACACCTGCAAGGTGACGCTCCTTGGGAGCTGCTCCCCGGGCTGCTTCTGCTTGGTTTCACATGATCACTAGAAACCACCAACAGTGCAGCTGAGTGCAGCGTGTGTGGGTGAGCAGGAGTCACCTGGGCACAAATACCTGTGTGTGTGTGTGTGTGTGTGTGTGACAGAGACAGTTTTGGAGTGTGTGTGTGTGTGTGTGAGAGAGAGAGAGAGAGAGAGAGTGAGAGAGAGAGAAGCAGACAGAGAGTGTGCGCACTGGAGTGTGAGTGTGAGTGTGTGAAAGAGAGACAGTGCTGGCATGTGTGTGTGTGTGTGTGTGTGTGTTTGTGTGAGAGAGAGAGTGCTGGAGTGTGTGTATGAGAGAGAGCTGGAGTGTGTGTATGTGGGTGTGTGTGAGAGAGAGTACTGGAGTGTGTATGTGAGAGACAGCACTGGAGTGTGTGAGTCTGAGTGTGAGAGAGAGACAGTGCTGTAGTGTGTGTGTGAGTGTGTATGAGAGAGAGAGAGAGGGAGAGACTAAGAGAGAGCAGAAATATAGTGTTGGAGTGTGTGTGAAAGAGAGTGCTGGACTGTGTGTGTATGTGTGTGTGAGAGAGAGCAGAGAGAGCAAGAGATAGTACTAGAGTGTGTATGTTTTTGAGATAGACAGTGCTGGAGTGTGTGTGTGTGAGAGAGAGAGATAGTAATGGAGTGTGTATGTCTGTGAGACAGTGCTGGAGTATATGTGTGTGTATGTGTGTGTGAGAGAGAGAGAAAGCGAGAAAGAGAGAAACAGTGCTGGAGTGTGTGTGTGTGTGTGTGTGTGTGTGAGAGAGAGAGAGAGTACTGAAGTGTGTATGTGTGTGAGTCAGTGCTGCTGTGTGTTTGTGTGCATGTGTGTGTATGAGAGAGAGAATGAGACTAAGAGAGAGGAGAGAGACAATGCTGGAGTGTGCATGTGTGTGTGTGTGAGAGAGAGAGAGAGAGAGAAATAGTACTGGAGTGTGTATGTGTGTGGGAGAGACAGTGCTGGCGTGTGTGTGTGAGAGAGAGACAGTGCTGGGGTGAGAGAGAGAGAAAGAGAGGAGAGACAGTGCTGGAGTGTGTGTGTGTGTGTGTGTGTGTGTGGAGAGAGAGACAGTGCTGAAGTATGTGTGAGACAGACAGTATTGCGGTGAGAGAGAGAAAGAGAGAGGAGAGAGACAGTGCTGCAGTATATGTGTATGAGAGACAGTGCTGGAGTATGTGTGTGTGTGTGTGTGTGTGTGAGAGAGAGAGAGACGGTTCTGGAGTGTGTGTGTGTGAGAGAGAGAGACAGTGCTGGGGTGTGTATGTTTGAGAGAGAGAGATAGTGCTGGTGTGTGTGTGTGAGAAAGAGACAGTGCTTGAGTGTGTATGTGAGAAAGAAGGTGCTGGTGTGTCTGTGTATGTAATAGAGATGGTGCTGGTGTGTGTATGTGAGAGAGAGACAGTGCTGGGGTGAGAAAGAGAGAAAGAGAGAGGAGAGACAATGCTGGTGTGTGTGTGAGAGAGACAGTGCTTGAGTGTGTGTGTGGTGTGTGTGTGAGAGAGATGGTGCTGGAGTGTGTGTGTGAGATAGAGACAGTGTTGAGGTGAGAGAGAGAGAAAGAGAAAGAGAGAAGAGAGACAGTGCTGCAGTGTATGTGTGAGAGAGAGACAGTGCTGGGGTGTGTATGTGTGAAAGAGAGACATTACTGAGGTGTGTGTAAGAGAGAGACAGTGCTGGGCGATGTGTGTGTGAGAGACAGTGCTGGTGTGTGTGTGTGTGTGTGTGTGTGTAAGAGAGAGAGAGAGGAGAGAGAGAGACTGCTGGAGAGTGTTTGAGACAATATCAGAGTGTGTGTGAGACTTCTGGAGTCTATGTATATATGTGTGTGTTTGAGGACAAGTGTTGTGGCATGGATGGTTTGTACTTGTACTGTTTGATGAGATCAAAATTAGGGTCCCTATGGTTCCTGTCTTGGGACAGCCCAGCACTCACAGGACGAGGGCTCCTCTGTGGGGGCAGGATCTCCGTCTAAGCCACAGCCCACAGAGCAGCTGGGTCCCTAACCCCCTCCAGGCAGCCTGACCTTGGGTTTCTGGACCATGTATGGTCTGCAAGCAGCTGATTGGTTGGTGTGACTGGTCTTTGGTTCTGGTTCCTGTCAGGAGTTCTGGATGGGTTGTGCCTGCCTTTCGGTGAGCACTGTGTGCGAGCCTGGGCTGGGCCTGCCCTCTGCTGAGCACTGTGTGTGAGCATGCGCTGGGCCTGCCCTTTGGTGAGCACTGTGTATCTTTGATTTTTCAGCCACAGCAGTGGCCAGTACACACCCTCAGCAGCCTTCCTGGGTCCCAGCCCATTTCCTGTGCTTTTCCAGGGGAGCAATGACAGCAGGGGCAGAGGGGAATCTCCCTGGATGGAGGGAGAGAGATGTGGACACTCATCTGCCTGCTTCTGGGGCCGGACACTCCCAGGGTGGGCAGATGCTCCATCCCGGTGACTGTGACCGGGGTTCACTGACTTCACTGCCACTGGCCTCTGGTGCAACTCACACGTCTGGATTCTTTCAACTTCACCGTAGGTCCTGAGAAGCAATGTGGAAGAAATGCTTATTGAGTAGCTATTATCGTAAGATTACTCCTGCCTGGTCTCGATGATGCCAAGGGATCACTGCCTGCATGGCGTGTCCAGCAGATAGTGCTGGGCTATTCACAAGAGCCAGAATCCTGAACAGGAACAGTAACAGGAGGAAATATATGTGAGCATGGGCTGGGCCTGCCCTTGCCCAAACCCTGCCAAGGAAGGACCAGGTCAGGGATAAAGACCAATATCTTACAGGGCAAATAGGGAGTAGAGCCATGTGGAGAGGGAGGGAGGGAGGGAGGGAGGGAGAGAGAGAGAGAGAGAGAGACAGAGAGAGAGACAGAGACAGAGAGACAGAGAGAGACAGAGACAGAGACACAGAGTCAGAGACAGAGACAGAGAGACAGAAAGAGACAGAGACAGAGAGACAGAAACAGAGAGCAATACAGAAAGAGACACAGAGACAGAGAGAGTGGAGAGAGGAGACACACACAAAGAGAAAGAGAGAGGCAGAGACAAAGAAACTGAGACAGAGACAATGAAGAACAACCAAGAGACTGAAGAGACGAGAAGCACAGAACAGGGCAAGTGCTCACTTGGTGGCGCCACGAAGGTCAGCGCAGGCGGGTTCTGTGGGAGGGAGTGTGGCGTGTCGCCCGGAAGGGCTTTGGTCCCTGCTGTGCTTTGCTGTGTCTGAGGAAGCGAGGAGGGCATCGCTCTGGCATCCCGAGCCACGTCACAAGGAACTTGGCAAGAGCTCCACTGTTATGGTTATTTCTAAAGCTGCCCCCCCCCCCAGCTTCATTTCTGTGACTCTGTTGATGTCACTGCAAGGAAACAAACGATGTTGGCAATGGGCTGTGCGCTCTTGCAACTTGCACTCCGTTGGCTGCTCTGGCTCGCTCCATATTGCTTCGACTCCAGCAAAGCCCACGGGAATAAGGATGGAAAAGTACCTGTAAATATTAAGGTTGCTTCCAAAGGCACATTATTGGTTTGTTGTATAACACCCTCTGGTGACATTGAGGCCTTATTAATAACTAAACAATGTGTCTTAACTGTGATTCTATTTCTCGAGCCAGGACTGTGCTCGCCGCGGTCCTGTTTCAGCACGGAGGGCGGCCGTGGACGGCTCCAGTGCCTGCCTCTGACGAGATCCCCACGAGCGCAGTGTCCCTGAGTCTCTGTCCCCTCCTTGCAGAGTTGCTGTCTCGGCTGATGCTCCCTTGATGCGCACACACGTCTCTCTGACAGCGTCGCCCTGGACCCCCGATGCGGCTGCCCGAGCAACCTGGAGAGGGGAAGCCTGAGAATGAGGAAAAGGGGGACACAGGAGCTCCCCGAGGGGGAGAGGAGCCGCCGAGGAGCCGGGCCCCCGACTTCCCCACTTGGCAAGTCTTCTCCCCCCAAACCCCTGGAGAAACGAGCTTTCTCGAGTGTTTGCTCACGACTTGATTGTGTTCCGCCCTCAGGTAGGGGGTGGTGTGGGACTGGGACTGTCCAAGTGTCAGTGTTGGGGGGGACAGACCACCTAGGAGGTCAGAGGGGTGGGGCCCAGGGGACGCAGGTCCCTGCGGAGGCCAGAGGCTCCCTTGCTGTCTTAGGCAGACAGGTTTGCACGGATCCTCCTTGAGGCTGGTGGAAGCGAAGGGGGCGGGCGTTGGAAGCTTCTGGGGATGGGGTGTGATGAGTTAGATCAAGCAGGTGGAGTCTATTCTGTAAGCCCGCATAGAGATGGGGGGTTGGCCTAGCGAACGTCCATTCATCCTCATAATAACCCCTTAAGGGTATGGTTAACCCTATCTTAACAGGAAAGAAGAGAAACTTTAACCAACTTGCTCCATACTGCATAGGCAAAGGTAAACACTTGGCTTGCTACCTGTGTCTCTCAGAACCCTCAACTTGCATCCCTAGCCATTGGACTACCTGGCCTCTACCCCACTACGGGGAAGGGATTAATTCAAGGGAGGCATTTGGGGCGTTTCCAAATCACTTACTTCTTAGGGTGGGGTCCAGCTTTCTTTCTTCCTTGGAGACAGTCACTGTCACTGTCACTGTCATTGTCCTCCCGTTGTTCATTGATTTGCTCGAGCAGGCACAGTAACATCTCCACTGTGACACTTGTTACTGTGTTTGGCATATTAAATACGTCACGGGTAGCTTGCCAGGCTTTGCCGTGCGGGCAAGATACTATCGGTAGCTTGCCTGGCTCTTTGAGAGGGGCGGAGGAATCGAACCTGGGTTCACTGGATCAGCCTCGTTCAAGAGGCCACTGTGCTATTGCTCCAACCCTGGAGACAGTTATGGTTGTAAATTTTCAAGGGGAATTTTGACACGGGGGTTGGGGGCTTAATAGAAAGGAATATCAATGGAGGAGACGGTTTGTGAAAAGTCCCAGAATGGTTCATGCCGAAATGTCTCTTCACACGGTGTGATTGGGCCTTCCAGTCCTCATTGTCCCAACTTCAAGGGGTGGCTGGGAGAATTATGAGATAGGATTAGAACTATGGGAAGGAAAGGAGGCGGAAATGACGCTGAAGACTAAGACTTCTGATTTCCAGGAGTCTCTCGCAGGAGCTGGGGTCTGCATAGGATGTTATGTGTCTCTTTCAGTATGAATTGTTTGGGAAATCAAAGGTGGGAAATGAGATCCCTGGTTCAGGAGAGCTCTCCTCAACTCTGAAGAAAGGTCTGGAAGAGGAAACTGTGACATTGGGACCAGGTCTGTGGAGGGGCCGCCTCAGGGCAAGGCACTGCTGAGGAAGTGTGGCCAGGCCTGAGGGTGCCCGGCCAGACTCCTCTTCACGTCTCACCTCCCAGGAGAGGAGAACCAGCTGGAAGCATGAATAGAGCCCAAGGGTAAAATTCCTGCTTGACCTTTACATATGCTGCAACAAGTTATAGAATCAGGGCAACAACCTAGAAAAGGCCCACGCAAAAGAAAATAGGTAAGCACTGCGGCAGAGAGATATTTTGCCTGTCTTATGGGGCTGTGGTAAAAGTGAGATGTTGCATGAAGTGATCGATCAATCAGTTGGAGGCACAAAGACAAGACACGCGAGAGGAATGTAGAAAGCGCGGAGGGACAAGGCTCGTTCTGGCTCAAAGCGAAGAGCGACGACTGCCAGAGGCCACCTTTCATTCTATTTTTTTTTAATCAGTTACATCCTAACGACTTCATCATAGAGAAAGACTCACTAAGGAGAGTACAAATAGTTATAGGATGAGCATTTGTCAAAGGAACATCAGGGTATGCATTGTCTTGTCAAAGCTATGTTGTCAAAGCTACGCTGTCATGATTAAAAGGTCAGAGGAAGATATGGAACTGGACATGCAGGCTCTACAGATGACGTCCCCTACATTCTTGTGGTTGGTTACACATAGGGCAAAGAAAAAGCTCATACTGATACTTGAAGGTCAGTCCAGATTAAGGATGTGTAAGAGAGGGGGAAACTGCTGCCTTGTATTGCCAACATGACTAGGTGAGTGTATGAGAGCATGTTGTACTTCTCCAGGTCATCGGACTGACAAGTTTGTAGCTTGCCCACTTGGTGAGAAGTGGGGCCTCGGTTCTGCTTCCTGCTTGCAGGGCAGCGTCCAAAGGCTCTTCCTAGTGTCCTGGCTTAGCACCAACCGTGAGAAATGCGCCTGATATTATGTTAAGGAAGTCATCTCCCTCAGGAGTATGAAGAGATCACGCAGCAGACAAGTCCAGGGTAGTCAGAAGAGCCTTTTTTTCTCAGAATCCTCCCACATTCTAAAGTATCTCATCATTGTTGCGTGATTTGGAGATGTAGAATTTGGAGCCATAGCTCTTCCGGGAGTGAATAGGCAGTGAATAGTCCTGTCTCTGAGAGCAACAGGAGCCTACGGGGAGAATCACCATATCCCAAGCTATCTGTGACTTCTTGGAAGGAGAGCGAATTCCTGTTAGCTCCCAGAGCTGAGGGGCCCTGAGGCTCTTGGCTTGTTCCTGTCACATACCCACATACTCACACAGATGATACTTTGTTTTCTCCTTCCTTGGCACATCCAGTTCACAAGGGTTTCCTTGTGCAATGGGCAGAGAGAGCTGGAAGAAGACAGGCAAGATGGATTCACGTGAGGCTTTTCCATTGTCAGGTTCATGTGAGCATCTTCTTGGTGCTGGCCATGAAGGGAGAGGGAATACAGCCTCTCTGAAATGTGCTCTCACAGCCTTTCCAGCCAGGAGTTCTGAGCACATCATCGCTGTATTCTCCTGTTCCTTGTCTGTGAGCCTCCTTCATCTAAAGCAGTGCCTGGGTGCTGAGACTGAGCACAGAGCACTAGGGTCTCTCTCACCCCGAAGCATGCTGGGTGGCCATACCTGGTACGGGTAGCACTGTAGCATGGTAGCACTGTCCTTCCATTGCTCATCAATTTGCTCGAGTGGGCACCAGTAATGTCTCCTTTGTGAGCCTTGTTGTTACTGTTTTTGGCATATCGAATAGGACATGGGGAGTTTGCCAAGCTCTGCTGTGCTGGCAGGATACTCTCGGTAGCTTGCCAGGCTTTCCGAGAGGGACTGAAGAATCAAACCCGGATTGGCTATGTGCAAGGCAAACACTCTACCCACTGTGCTATCGCTCCAGCCCTGGTACGGGTAGCACTGTAGCACTGTCCTCCCATTGTTCATCGATTTGCTCGAGTGGGCCTAATAACGTCTCCATTTTGAGTCTTCTTACTGTGTTTGGCATATGAATATGTCACGGGTAGCTTGCCAGGCTTTGCTGTTGTGGGCGAGGTACTCTCGGTAGCTTGCTGGGCTCTTTGAGAGGGGCAGAGGAATCAAACCTGGGTAAGGTGGGAAAAATTATACAAGAGGAAGGGATCACCTCCTGTTCTTATCTACTGGGTCTAGATCTCTTTGATGCTTCCTTGGTTGCAAGTTGGCAGAAGTTCAGGAGAGTTCTTCCAGGTAAATAGAAGAAAGCTTGTTCAGAATACTTCAGGCACTTGTGGAGGCAGGTACTCCTAGAACCTCAGGTCTCAGGGATGGCTGGAAGGAGAGCCTCAAGGAAGCCCAAGAAGAGCTTTATCCTGCCCTCAGCTCTGTTTCTTTCCACAATGAAACTCTGTCAAGTACCTGGCAGTGACTCTCGGTTTCAGCTCTCCACTGTCCATTCTTATTTGTTTGTTGTTTGTTTTTGTGGGGAGGCATCTTCAGCAGTTCTGGGGGTCACCAGGGCTACACCCAGAGGGACTTAGGAGAAAACATGATGCCCTGGTTTTCTGACTTCCAACCTCTGAGCTATTTATCTACCCATGATTCACTCTTGATCAACCCAATGATGTCCAGAAAAGGAGGGTCAGAGGACATGAACATGGCTGTGACAGAGGAGTATGGGTACCTCCTCATCCAAGCTCCTTGCAATGTTGGTTGTGTATCCCTTTCTTTTTCTTTTCTTTTTTAAAATTTTTATTAGTGAGAGACTATGAGGTACAGTTGTAGACTTACAAATTTTGTGCTTGGATTTCAATTATACAATGATCAAATACCCATCTCCCCACCAGTGCCCATTTCCCACCACCACAGATCCCAGTATCCCTCCCACCCCCCATCCCCCTCCATCCCACTCTGCCTCTGTGACAGGGCATTCCCCTCTATTCTCTCTCTCCTTTTGGGTGTTGTGGTCTGCAAAAGGGGCATTGAGTGGTAATCATGTTTGGTCTATAGTCTACTTTCAGCATGCTTCTCCCATCCTGGGAGGATCCTTCCAACATCCTTTATTTGGTGCTCCCTTCTCTATCTGAGCTGCCTTTCCCCCTAACATGTGTGACTGGCCTCCAAGACATGGAGCAAAATCCCTTTCTTGAGGTTCACTAGCAGTCCTCAAAGGGCCAGGAAGGTAATTTCTTTCAATGCTATAAGTTGGGGCCTTTAAGAGGAGGTAGTTCTCACATGAGCCTGTGGGATTAACTACTTGGCAGATCAGATAAAGCTGGCTTGGAGTCACCAAATGGAGTGTAGACCGGAAGTTAGCACAAAGGATGTAGACTGTAGAGGAAAGACACCCTTCTCTTCCAGTGGTCTCTCTGTGTGTCATCCTAGAGATTTGCATAACCTTCCAGGTTGTTTATTTCTATGCCTTTGCTGATGCATGGCTGAGTCTTTTCTTGATGTAACTGGAGAGAATGACAGCCGGGAGAGATATCCTTCCCCACTCTCGGGAAGACACTAACCAGTGAAGACCCAGCTTGCTTCTAGCCCACAAACATACTGACTCCTGGATCAGGGGTGGATGAGTGTTTTATTCTTTTTTCCAACTATGTGTCTGAACTCTTTGGATGGGGTCTGTGGATGAGTAATTGATGGACACAGGCCTAGGGGACCAGCTAGAAGAGGCAATGGAGAGGTGCTCAGGTGGCTTCAA